AAAAAAAAAAAAAAGAAAAGAAAAGAAATCAGCCGCCACGGGAATATTTACACCAGGGAAACTGGCAGACACGACATATCAGGTTCTTCCCCCAGAGAGCTGGTTGTTAACCACTTGTGGCATGCCACTGGGGATGACTTATAGTTTATATTTTCCCCAGAGCTTTCACACATGTTCAGATTTGGTTTGTATCTGCTCTAAGGGTACCTGGGACTCCCTCATTCATATCCTTCTCCTCCCATCTTTTTAAGTGGAGCAAAGTCTCTCTTCTGCAAAATCCTCTCTGAGCACCTCCTCCCTGGTTGGCCAGAAGCCATGCCCCAGGCCAGGACGGGGACCCCCACCAGGTGTACCTGCTCCTCAGCACTTTTGATTACGACGAGCTGGGCCCCCACTTCCTGGCAGGCGGTGATGGAGTCATGCCAGTTCCGCTGGGAGTTCGATATGAAGTAACAGTTTCCTTGGAAGAATGTCCACTCCCAGGGACAGGGGCGGCACAGGCGTTCTGTTGGGGGAGGCCGGTCAGGGCTGGGCTCAGATGAGGTTGTCCATACTCCTGTATCTGCCCAGCCTTCAAGGTCTTGAGGGTCGGAGCCCTTCCTTCACTGTCCACGCTGGGTGGACCATTCTCCTCCCCACTTCCCGAGACCCTCCCCCATCCCCATGAGAACCTGGGAGTCCTGGCCCCATCTCCTCCAGACTAGGAGAAGTCGGAGCTTTAGAGCACAGAACAGAAGGCAGGAGACCAGCTTGACTGAGTGCCTACCGTGTACCTGGCCCACTGAACACCAAGTGCAAGCATCGCTGTTAATCTGTGTTCTTATTTCACAGAGGAAGAAACTGAGGCTCAGAGAGGGTTAGTGACTCAAGCAAAGTCACACACCGTGGAAACCCTCCCAGGCCCAAGGACCCCTGGCATCTGGCCACTCACCCACAGCAGCCTTCAGCTGGGACAGGTCCTGGGAGATCTCGTCCTGCTTGGACTGATCCAGTCTCTGGGAGCTGGGGTTCTTGGAGACTGGGACAAGGAAAGAAATTGCAATGATTAAACACCCACTGTGTGCCACACCCTACACTGTGCCCCTAAGGACGTCATTTCTGAGCACAAACATCTTGTTTAAATCCTTTTTTGGATAAGGAAAACTGACACCCAGAGAAGGCAGCAGGGAAGGGGCAGAAGAGCCTGTCCTCCTTCCCTCCCCTGCCCTGGAGATGGGAGTGGTCATGGGGAAAGGCCTCTGGAAACCCAAAGGGACAGAAGGCCAGCTCTTAGCTCTTCGTTCGTCTTGGAACTGGCCACCCCCAGCTGCGTCTACAGCAGAAGAACCAGGCCTGGGAGGCCAGGACTCTCAGAGCCCGCTGCTGACCTTGGACAAGGATGGCCACCAGCAGCCCAGTGAAGAGTGTGAAGAAGAGGAGCGGCAGCACCAGGGGTGCGGGGCCCAGACACCCTGCAGGAGAAAAGATTGCTTGGTTCCAGCATGCCAGTGCCCAAGCCTCAGCCTGGCCCAGGGAAAGCCTGGCCACAGCCCCACCTCCCCAAATGGCAGGAGTGAAAGCCCCAGCCTAACTCTCCACGTGGCAGGAGTCAAGTCCTCAGCCTCCACCTACCCAGCACCCAGGAACCCAGGCCCCAGCCTCCACCTCCTAAGGTATCAGTAGTCCACGTCCCAGCCCTTACCTCCTTAGGATGCAAGAGTCCAGGACCCTGCTCCCACCTCTCCAGGACCCAG